ATGGCTGTGAGACTTGGCCTATTCGAGCAGCGGAACTGAGACGTCTCCAGGTGTTCGACAATCGTTGTCTCAGAACCATAGCTCGTGTGCGATGGTGTCGGCGAATCCGTAACGAAGCGGTTAGAAAGCGCGTTTTCGGTTGTGTAACGGGTATCTTCATTGAAGAATATGTCCAGCACCAGAAGCTGTGTTGGTTGGGACACGTGTTGCGTATGCCGAACCATCGTTTGCCGAAGAGAGTGCTGCTTTCCATGCCCAACTCAGAGTGGCGTAAACAGAGAGGTGGCCAACCCTTGACTTGGCAGAGGAGTATGAAGGAGATCACGAAACGCTTGGGTGCTGTCGGTGCTACTCGCCTTCCAGGATGGGGATCGCGTGATCCTCACTGTGCCTGGTTGGAGACACTACAAGATATGGCTGCCAACCGATGTCAATGGCGTTTTTGTTGTCAGTTTCTATCCAGATTGCCTGAGCGAATGTCTGGAGGTGTAGGCACCTTGGAATGATTGTATTAAGCTAGCACTAAGTCCCTTCCCCGTCCGCCTATACTCTTTTCTTTACAATAATGCTTTCAAATAAGTCATGGTTGTATGGCAGTGAAGCATAGGTGTTGAACACGGATGTCATGCTGTCGATGATGATGATCATTCAATCAATTCAGCAAAAGCTGATGAGTGTTATTGAACGCCACAGAAGCACGACCGAATGTGATCAGCGTTCAGGCTTTTCACAGAGGCACGAGCGATGTTGATGGGTGTTCACTAACGCCTATCAAACAGCCTGGATCAATGTCAGAAAGTCCCTAGTAACTTTCGCTCTCGCACTCGCACGCACGCATCACGCTTTCGCACTCGCTTGTTCGGAATATATAGCAGGATATAGCGGTTGCGTTCCCTTCTGTGAGTCTTTTTTCTCCGGCACTAGACACTGGAGCGGATTACCAGCACATACCACAGGTCGGCGGATCAGCAGATATAACAAGCACTGTAGTCGAAATCCTGTGGGCGCCTACGGGTATACGGCAAGCTGTCGTCTGAGTTCACCACGCTCAGTGGTGTAAGACAAGACTGCCCTTCCTCTCCATTTCTCTTCCAGTTTGTTATTGACGTGTTGCCTGACAAACCTCTCCTTGTCTATGAGACCTCCGATGTCGAAACGTTTCGGAGGCTTTCGCTGACAGATGTTGCGCTCCTTAGTTCAGATACTTCAAAGCCATTCCAAATAAACCAGGTAACGCCACCACATGGTTTAATATGCGCTTCCGACCCATACAGTGCTGTTACAAGGGTGGATGTAATCACACCAAAACCTTTTGCTTGTAAAGCAGCCATTCGACTTGGTAAACAAGTTTATTTATCTGGGCGATCGTATAAGTTCGGTGGACCGGCTGGAGATGAAGCCACTTCTCAAGCCGGGAAGTCCAGGGTGATTTGTGCCAAACTGCGACATCTGTGACACAAGTGTGACGTCGGTTTGTCTCTCAATGCCAGAGTATAAATTGCGCCGGCACGATCCATATTGTGAAAGGGATGGGAATAAGAAATGTGGCTTATATGCGCAGAAGCATGAAACCTCGACGTCTGACCATCGGTGTCCAGGAGTAAATGAAAAAATAAATCGTTCAGCTGCAACACCCTTTC